ACCCCCCCCATCCAACCACCCGTCCGCCAAAACCCCCCCACAACTGCTACCACTAAGCTAACACCCACCACACCAAAACCCACCACAACCACCACTCCAGCCAAGCTAACACCCACCACACCAAAACCCACCACAACCACCACTACAGCCAAGCCAACGCCCACCACACCAAAACCCACAACTATGGCCAAGCCAGCACCCACCACACCCACCACTACAGCCAAGCCAGCACCCACCACACCAAAACCCACTATAGCTATGGCCAAGCCAGCACCCACCACAACCACCACTACAGCCAAGCCAACGCCCACCACACCAAAACCCACAACTATGGCCAAGCCAGCACCCACCACACCCACCACTACAGCCAAGCCAGCACCCACCACACCAAAACCCACCACAAGTGTGGCTAAGCCAAAACCTGCCACAGCCAAGCCAACACCCACCACACCAACATCTACCACCACTACAGCCAAGCCAACACCTGCCACTACAACACCAGCAAAGCCAAAACTCACCACTACCGCACCAGCACCTACCACAACGGCAAAGATGCAACCAAAAACTGCCACAGCCACAAACCCAGAACCCACTGAAACAGAAAGACCCAATCCTACTGAGGCAACTGGGCTAACTCTTTCCTTTGAGTCCACGTTAGACGTCGATTATAAAGTATCTCCAGAAGTAGACGTAGACACCGGAGAGCCTGTTAGCCCCTTAACCACAGTGGATCCGGCTTTATTAGAAAGCATGGGCACAGCCTTCAGCCCCAAATCATTCCCAGAAACAAATAAAGGTGTCAAAGAGGATGGGAAAGAGAAATCAGCCTTTTCCAGTCCACCTCCATCCCTCAGCCAAATTGTTCCAGAGATCAAGTTAGGTTTCAATAAAGCTGAGCTCATAACCCCCTCAAAGTCAGTGGTCTTCAGCCCTGGAGAGCCCACCTTCTTGCGCTTAACATCATCTTCCAAAGAAAAAAAAGGGCAGAGCCCTGCTTTCCAGACCTCCCTCTCAGGTAAGGTAATTGTGGAGTCTGCCCTGGCATGGACACTCAGATGTTCAGTGATCCCCAAGCAGCATGGAGAGCGCTTGGGAGGAACCAGTATCGGACTGGTCCTTTGGATCCTCCTCTCGTACGTGGCACCAACCCTTTTCCT